ACCAATAAAATATATATAGAGAAAAAATTAGCGGGGCATTGGTGGCGCATGCTTGTAGTCCCCAGCTACTCGGAGGCTGAGGCACGGAGGATCGCTGAGCCCAGGAGTTTGAGGTTGCTGTGAGCTAGGCTGACGCCACGGCACTCACTTTAGCTGGGCAACAAAGTGAGACTTGTCTCAAAAAAAAAAAAAAAAAAAATTAGCCAGGAATGGTGGTGTGTATCTGTAGTCCCAGCTAATCAGGAGGCTGAGGCAGAAGATCACTTAAGCCAGAGTTTGAGGTGCTGTGAGCTAGGCGGTGGCTGGCATCACCGGAAACAGACAGGAGTCAGTTGACAGTAAAGACTAGAAACTGTCTCAGGAAAAAAAAAAAAAGAAAGAAACAACGAAGAAGAATTAGAAACAGCTAAGGTTCAGCAGCTAGAGCGAAAGAAGAAGAGACTGGGGAGCTCCAGGGGAGGGGCCGCGCGCGGATCAGGCCTGTGGATGGGCCCACTCGGGAACAAGGAGAGGGCGGGCTCCCCAGCCCAGCACGTGTGAACTCACCACGACACAGACAGGTGCCACAGGGGCAAGACATCGTTCTTGGAACGAGAAGGGTCATTTAGATATAACATATATACATGGAAAAGTATTTTTTTATTTTTTATTTATTTATTTTTTTTTTTTTGGAACAGAGTCTCGCTTTGTTGCCCAGGCTAGAGTGATGCCGTGTTCGTCAGCCTACTCACAGCAACCTCAAACTCCTGGGCGTCGAGCATCCTCTGCCTCAGGCTTCCCGAGTAGTGGATACAGCCATGCGCCACCATGCCGGCTTAATTTTTATTAATATTATCAGTGGCAATTAATTTTTGCATTTTATTAGGTAGAGACGGGGTTCTCGCTCTTGCTAGGGTTTTGAATCCTGACCTGGAGCAATCCGCCCGCCTTCGGCTCCCAAGAGCTAGGATTACAGGCGTGAGCCACCGCGCCGGCATTGAATAAAGTATTTTTTATATTTTGAGTGAGTAGAGCGTAGTCGTTGCAGGGAAAACTTGGGTTAAGTCCCGACTCTAAGCATTTATTGCGAAAACGCAAAGAAAGTTACCCAACTTCTGGGGTTCTTTCAGCTTTAGAATAGGAGCCACAGTCTGTGCCCATGTCGCGGAGTGTGCGTGATCATGTAATGAGGGGCACGCCACGGAGCCCTGCACATCAGGGACACTCCAGACATGTTACCACTGTCCACAGGTAAAACGCAAAGCTTCCCTGCCCAGGTACATTACCAGAACATTCCTTCCTGTCTTTGCTTCTGTTTTAGATTCTGTTTTTTATAAATTATCAGGTGGCTGTCTCCTCTTCTTTAGTCTCCTTGAGTACCAGCGGGACAAAGGACTTCTGCCTTGGCATGGTGCGGGCAGAGGGAGCTGGACTGAGGATCACCCGGGCAGAGGGAGCTGACTGAGGTCACCGGCAGAGGGAGCTGGGACTGAGGTCACCGTCTTTAAACAGCAAAGGCTAGCAGAGCCAGGAGACGGGGCAGGCATGCTTGGGTTAAGGGTTCTGTTCCCAATTAATTTATTTCTATTTTTGGTAGAGACGGGGTCTCACTCAGGCTGGATTCGAACTCCTGACCTTGAGCAATCCGCCCACCTTGGCCTCCCAAAGTGCTAGGATTACAGGCGTGAGCCACCACGCCTGGCCCATTCCTGGCTAATTTTTAAATTTATTTTTTGCACAAATAGAGTCTCACTAAGTTGCTGGGCCTGGTTTCAAATTCCTGGCCTCAAATGATCCACCCACCTCGGCTTCCCAAAGCGCTAGGATTGCAGGTGTGAGCCACTGCACCATACCTTGTAATTCTTTGTGACTCATGGTACAGATAACATTCTCCTTGCATAAAACTTTGCCTACATTTGAGATTTTTATTCCTTAAGATATTTCTAGAAGTAGAATGACTAAGTCAGAGGGTATCAACATTTAAAAAAGTTTCCATACCTACAACCATACCATAACACAAAAAAATTACCAACGTACGTTCCCACTAGCAGTGTATGAGTGTGTCTATGCTTTGTCTTACCAAGTCTCAGTAGTTTTTCTTTTAAAAAAAGAAAGGAGAAAAGAAAAGCCAGATCTTTACATAGAGAAATTTTCTTCAAGTTCTGCTTGTGATTATTTTGCCTTGGGAAACGAGGAAAGAAAAAAAAATATTGATGATGTTTAAACACTGTTTTAAGAAGGCAAAGAGCATATATCGAACACCCCTCTGGAGACCTGACTAAAATGATCAGCAAGGCACATACAGGCATAATGACAGCTGTTGATAATACTGGCTAACAATTGCGCTAAGACCTCATAAATGATAACTCACCTATTCTTCCCATAACCTTTGAGCTGTGTGCCATTTGTATGCCTGTTTTCAGATAAGGAAACTGAGACACAGGCGTTACCTGCCTTGCCCAACGTCAGAAATCTAGTAAGGGGCAAAGACTGGGTTTGAACCCAGCTAGATGGACCCAGGAACCTACGCTGCTCTGCCGCCAAGGACGAATGGAAGGGGCCCCACAGGGGGGCAGAGACTTCAGCAGGTGTCTGGAAGACACCCTGGATGGGACGTGGTGACTGAGTAAACAGTGGTGGAGGGTGCTGCCATCCACAGAAGCGCCCAGAGGGCACATAGCCAGGGAAAGTGGTCTGCTAGGCGGAGGCTAGAGGAGCAGACCGCAGAGGACAGGAAGACGTGCAGGAGAAGCAGGATGAGTGTGCCAGCCCCACACCCCGAACAGTATTCATGGCAGCCTTGAGTCTCCACCAGACGGAAATACATCAGCGGGCTCATGACTGAACGGAAGGACCCAGAAGAGTATCTTCGTGTTGTGGCATTTAGGGGCCACACCCTAAATGCCACACCCCGCAGGGAAGCCTGGCAGGGGACCTGCCCCGCCTCTCGAGTGCGTGGGCAGTGCAGGGGCAGACACGTGACAAGGACCTCAGCATGGAAAGGGACCCGGAGAGACAGAAATGACCTAAGAAGAAAGGAATAAGTTTGAAAATAGAAAATAATTTTTAAAAGCTCGAACCTGTGTCCTCAGAGAGATTAAAAAACATTTTATTCCTTTTTTTTTCTTTTTTTGAGACAGAGTCTCACTCTGTAGCCCGGGCTAGAGTGCCATGGCATCAGCCTAGCTCACAGCAACCTCAAACTCCTGGGCTCAAGCAATCCTCCTGCCTCAGCCTCCTGAGTAGCTGGGACTACAGGGATGCGCCACCATGCCGGCTAATTTTTTCTATATATTTTTAGTTGGCCAATTAATTTCTTTCCTTTTTTTTTTTTTTTTTTGTAGAGACGGGGTCTCGCTCTTGCTCAGGCTGGTCTCGAACTCCTGACCTCGAGCAATCCGCCCGCCTCAGCCTCCCAGAGTGCTAGGATTACAGGCGTGAGCCACCGCACCCAACCAAAAAACACTTTATTCTTGAAATAAGAACAAGATGCACTGAAAAAGGGGGAAAATAATGGTAGAAAAAAGGTCCTGAGAATGAAAAGGTGACAGAAAAAAAAAATCTCAAGACAGAGGCTGGAAAAGAAATCAAGGGAAGCTCCCAGAAAATAAAATAAAAAGGTGACAGAAGACTCGGAGCTAAATGGGGAAGAGGAAAGGTTCCACACACAATCATTTCCTAGAATGTTGCCTCAGAAGGAGCTACAAGGGGACAAGGAAGGATGAGAGAGAGTGTGTGTGAGTGTGTGAGTGTGAGTGTGTGTGTGTCCACAGGGTGGGGGGGGATAACCCAGACAGAAAAGGCCGTGGGACCCAGGAATCAGGAAAATGCGCCCAGACAGAACAGGATCCCAGGACCACAGCCGGGAGGCAGCAGGACGGGAGAGTAACACTCTGGGACGGAACAGGACATGGAGAGTGCTGTGGCGAAAGGGGACTTGATCTAATACCTCTTATGATCCACAATTTGAAAGAAACTGAGGAAAGGGTGAAGGCAAACAGTGGGAGAGGCAAACAAAAAGCCAAAGGAGATTGGAAGCATCAGGAAATGCCAAAGCTGTGTAAGAAAGTGTGTACAATCATATCGTAAACAATGTTAAAACACCACAAAAGCATAAATGCTTGGCGGGGCGCGGTGACTCACGCCTGTAATCCTAGCACTCTGGGAGGCCAAGGCGGGCGGATAGCTGGAGGTCAGGAGTTCGAAACCAGCCTGAGCAAGAGCGAGACCCTGTCTCTACTATAAATATAGAAATTAATTGGCCAACTAATATATATATAGAAAAACTTAGCCAGGCAGGGTGGCGCCTGCCTGTAGTCCCAGCTACTCAGGAGGCTGAGGCAATAGGATCGCTTGAGCCAGGAGTTTGAGGTTGCTGTGAGCTAGGCTGATGCCACAGCACTCACTCTAGCCGAGGCAA